ATGCTAAAACTATAGCAATATTGTTCTCTCAAAGATATTGTTAAGATTGATTATATTTTTCTAACCTTATTAACTAGAATTCTACTTGGCTATTCTTCAATAACAATCATAAAAAATCATACAACTTTATCAACACCAAACTTAATCATTTTAAATCTTTTAAAATCAAAATGCTACTAAATATGCTACCCACACAATTCTATATTAACTCTATATTATTTAGCTCTTGCTTACTTCATTATTGCTTTCAATATAACCTTTCTGACTCATCATCCTACTAGTATACTTGTCCTAGACCTAATTCTCTAATTCAAATTATTAATTTCTCTATTACTAAGATTATTGCCAACTTTAATTTTAATTTTCTCTATTATAAAACTAATTACTTAATATATACAATTTCTTATAATTTTGTTTTCTCTTTTTAGCTCTTTTCTCTTTACTCATACTCTATTTACTTAATACTTAAAGGTTTTATTTCTGCATTTATACAATCTGTACTATCTTTTGATATTTTTCACTCTCTTGCTTTCTAACATATTATTCAAATTCTTATCAAAATCTCTAACCAACTTTATAATCATATATAGAAGACATATTGTATAAACTTCTCTATTTGAAAAAAAATATACCAAATTAAATCTCCACTCATACTTCATCTACTCAATACTCTTAACTATCATCATCTCATTTAACAACTAGATCTAAAAGGCTATTTATCTATAACTACTTGTATAATTTACTAGATCAACTTCATGATAAGTCTAATATCTACTCTCTTGCTAGGCTTATTAATTAAAAATTTGATATCTGATTTACAATTTGATTTAATATAGCACCTTTGCTAATTATATTTTAACTATTCAAATCTAGATAAGTCTTGACTACTCTAGTAGATTTAGATTGCAGATAACTAGTCTGGTTTATTCTAAACTTTTAGTTTAAGCTTTTATTCTTATATATAGATTATATTTATTTGTAATTATACAAATTAAGTTTTATATAGTTTCTATATAATTACTTATATAAATTATTTAATAGAAATATGAGCAAGACCTTATTTTAATATTAAAATAATAATAATAATAATAATAAATTATAAAGAAAGTAAAGAAAAATTAAGTAAGAAAAATTAACTATCTATACTAGCAATATTTTAGACAAAAATACTTGTATTATAATAACAAATTGTTATTATAAGTTGAGTTCTATTATCTGTAACTTAATTACATTAATATATACTAGAAAATTCTAAAAGTATTTATATAATACTTGAATTATATAAAGAAATGCAAACTAGTATAGATAGTACAAATCTATAATAAGACTTCTAAAATTATATAAAACTAATAAAAGGAATTTAAATATTTAAAACTAGCTTGACAAATCTTAAGTTAAAGGTTGCAAATCTTTGATAATATTACAAAACAGATCTTAAATGAACTAGAAATTAGAAGATTCAAGTGACAAATATTTTTAGACAAAAAGATCTACTAATCTGGCTACTAAAATTATTAAATCTATACTAATTATATATTTATTAGTTAATTTATTAACTGAATAACTAGTAGAAAATTCTAGAAAAGAGTGTAGCAGTTAGTAAAATATTACTTCTAGATGAAAGATATAGAGTTTGAATCCTACTGGTAATAGTCTAAATAAATTATTTTGTTTTATAGTAACTATATAATTTTTATCAATTAGTTAAGTTCTAGGGCCTTTAGCTCTAGGCAAACTAGTATTTCCTGTACACTTGAAGGTTCTAGAAGTATCTATATAACACTAGTATTATATAGAGAAATGCAAACCAGTTTAGATGATACAAACTTATGATAAATTTTCTAAGACTATAAAAAACCAAAAGAGAACTAAAAGATTGGAAACTAGATTGAAAAGTTTCAAGTAAAGAGGTAATACAAATTTTTGACAGTAATATAGAAAAACCTTGAACTAAAGATAAATACTCAGACCAGAAATAAGAATGCAAAAAACTCTCAAAAAAAGTAAAAGTACAATGTATCCTCAAGATAAAAATACAAAGTACTTTTAAGAGAAAGGGTTTATCATCCTGGCTGCCAAAACACAGGCTATAGGAAAAGAATATATATATACTATAAAAATATATACTAGGGTTAGAGCAACTATAAACTAAAGGTTTGGCAGATCTAATCTTCTAAGCTATTAGATTAGAAGTTCTAAAAGCTAGAAAAAAAAGTCTATAAATTAAAAAATTAAAGTATATAGATACTAGGTTTGAGTGAACTTTGCAAGAACAGAAGTAGGTAACTGTAGAGATAAATCACTTCCAATTATATAGATCAAGCTGTGGTACAAGTTATGAAAAATAATAAATATATAAAATATAGACTGCTTTGTCAGTTTTATTACAAGAATAAATGCCCGTCTAGAAAACTAGATAAACTGGAGGCTAAAGTTTTAGAGTCTTATCTATCAAATTATCTTAAAAGAGTATACTAGGAGAAATATACTATAGGAGGTTAAAGCCAAAGAGTTTAAATAAATAGCTTTCTAGTTAGGCTATAGGTAGTGTTAGTAATAAAATTACTGAATTATAACATTATGGCATTCTACTATATGGTAGAATTAATTATAGTACCAAACTTAATTGCTATAAATATTATGTGCCATAATGCTGTAATGCCACAATGCCATAATGCTGCAATACCATAATACTATAATACTGCAATGCTTAATGCCATAATACTGAAATGCTATAATATTATCTAATATATTATAGTGATACCATAATACTATAACATTATAATAATTATAATAATATATAATTAATTAAATAGTTATATAATACAATCACACCAAATCAGGAATAGATGAATATAAGGCACTAAAAACCAGGAACATAATAGTAATATTTATATATATTATTATAATTTTTATAACTTTAGACATTGAATTTTTGAGTTTTAATTAATAAAAAAATAATTACTAAAATTATTAACTATAAATAATTTGTTTATTGCTAATAATTCCTATATGGTCACATTAAAAAACTGCATATTACAATTTATACTGTATTTTAATTTGCTATATTCTATACTAAAATTTTTTATTACTTATTTTAATGATATTTTTGCTATGATTTTGCGAATAATTTGAATATTACTAAGTATTATATTATATTATTTTGATAAATTAGTGAGTATAATGATATATGGTTTTTATTAACCAATATATATATTAAAAATAAGGTTTAAATTTGTAGATATATATTATATAGGCAGTATTAATAAAAATCAAGCAAATCTACATTTGAAAAAAAATCAGTGCCTTAGCTTTCACAGCTCATATCTCAATGAATTTTAAAGCTATTTTAATACTTTAATATTCAAAAAGAAAGCTTAGATCATAAGCTTTCTTTTGAATATTAAAGTATTAAAATAGCTTTAAAATTTATTGAGTTTTGAGCTATAAAAGTTAAGGAACTGATTTTTTTTCAAATGTAGATTTGCTTGATTTCTATTAATACTGCCTATATTTACATCATACCTTAATTTCGCATTAATCTAGTTCGAGTAATTATATTAGATATTATTTTAAGTAACTTCAAGAGAAAATGAAACTTTAATATATAAATTCTGGATAATTAAAGTCTCATTTCTCTTGGCGTCACTAATTTATTACTGTATTAATCAGTATACTTTAAGAAAGTACAGAGTAATATAAATAATGTTCATAATCAGTTATTTAAAACAAAGGTGTTTGCGAATCTTTTTTAGGGTCTTTCAAAATTAACATATTTTTAAGAGATAAAGATCAAATTTGGAATTACGATGTAACAAATTAAACAGTGTATTTGGCAATTCATGTTTATATAGTTTAAAAAGTAATTAACAATAAATGTGATTATCATTTGAAACCCCTTATGATTATTATACTGCATCTTAACACATTACTGTACAGCATTATAGTATTTAGATACAACAGCATTATGGTATTTCAATATAACAGCATAACGGCATTACATTACAGCATTGCGGCATTACGGCACATGCCGTAACCGTATTAATTTGCCAAATTAATTCTACCGCCAACACTAGGCTATAGGTATGGCAGCTAGTCAATAATAACCGACCTTAACAGACCAAACCCATCCCTAGTCGTGTTATCTGACATAATCCGAGCAGCAAATCATGAATTCGGTTAATATATGAGATCCTATAGAAACAAAGAATTTATCTACTGTTTTGTTTCATCACGAATGGAATTGGTAATTTATAGGCGTCGTCGAAGCATTGAATATTTGTCAATTAGAATAGTTATGTGATTATATGAAAGTTTTTTAAGGTACAGTATTATGGAAACTTATAAAAAAACTAGGTAAATACACTAAATTATATTCAGGCTAAATATTTAACTATTTTAATGTTATCTAACTGGAAATTTATTACAGTAATTGCAAATAAGAACAAATATTAGCTAAATTCGAAACATACAGTAAACTTGTGTTTATGAAATTTTGATTTTCTGGAAATTGCAAGTTAAAAGACCTGATCATAACGAACACCAAAAACAATTTAGACAGGTGGATGCGTAAAAGATAGTCGATAGTATTTTATATAATTGTTAATATATATATATATAAAATGTATCAACTATTAAAAATAGATAACGATAATGAAATCGTCTCAATGATAATCAGTGATTAATATGGCTATTGATTTTGTTAAACCGAACTACAGTAATCTGGTTTCAACCTTGTAAAAATAAAGGTTTAAAGCTACGGTTACCTAATTATAATACGTCAATTTCTTTGTACTGTATCGGTATTAACAACACTAAACTGATCACAAGATGTTTTGTCATACTGTTTGTCATACATCAGAAGCAAACTATCTTGCGTTCACGTAATCCAAAATCATAAAAATTTATAACAAATAATGTATATTTCAAAATTAATACGTATTTTATAAAATGTCGTCATAGATTATTCATATTGAAATCTTAATCTTAAATGACTGTGCTTAGTATGAATACCAAGCACTTTCTCGGGTGACTCGGTCAAAACCGTACCCATTATTAGTAGCAACAAACGTTTGATCATTGGAATATTTATAACTTGTAAGTCTTGCAGGGGCGATAGCCACAGTGTCGGGAGGAGGAACATATTGTGTGACTGGTCTTGGATTGTTTGGATTGTATGCTGGTGTCGAACTGGATTCTGATTCAGAACAACACGCAT